AAGTGATTGTTGTATGACGTCAAAAGTTCGAGCTGGACTGATTCTCGGGTCAAGCGGGATTAGCGATAAGGTGTATATGAAGATTTGTTCAATGACACGTTGGATAGTCTCAACCAATCAAATATTGATTAAACTATCATAGATTGATACTCTGGCACAAAATTATATATGACAAAACACCTAGTTATCTCCGTGAACAAATACCAGGTTTAGTAGAAAGTAGGCATAACCATAATACAAGGCAACGTCAAAATATCATAGAATTCGGTACAAGAACTCGCTTATATTCAGAATACTTTTCCCCTGCAACCGTGAAATTATGGAATAAGATACCTTTTAATATAAGACAGTGCGACTCTCTCTTTCTATTTAAAAAACATATTTGTAAACAAAATAAGAAGGTTCCCACACATTATTATGTTGGAAATCGCATTGGACAAATTCTCCATGCACGCTTGCAAATGAACTCTAGTGCTTTAAACTCCGATTTATTTTTACGTAATTTAGTGGATTCGCCAAATTGTCGTTGTGGTGCTAAAGAAACAAGCTCTCATTTTTTATTAACAACATACGCCAAGTGCTACTGAATTCTCTTGCTGATTTTCCGCAGCGTATTGATGTAAATATTTTGCTTTTTGGGTCAGATTGTTTAACTGATGAAGAAAATTGTACTCTTTTTGTATTGGTACAAAAATACATATTGAAAAGTAAAAGATTCACACCATAATATAAAAGCATCATTTATATGTTTTCCTTGCATTTCATTTAGCTCAATTCAATCACTTGTTTTTTGTTTTTGTTTTTTTTTCTCCCTTTTTTCTCAAACTATATAATCAATCTTTTTTTGTATTTGCTATTCTTAATATATTCCAATTGACAGAGCATGCTCCAAGTATTCATTATATTGTATGTCAACATTCTTTTGGAGACAGATTAAAATAAGCAATGTTGCTTGTTTCTGAATCCCATTGTTTATACTGTATTATATTATATAGCATGATTTGACTTATCGAATAAAATATTGTTTAAACCAAACTATCAATATGTTTAAACAGTGGAATAATATTAATTATCTTGGTGTAATCAGGGGTGTACAGAATTTTACACCGTTGTTGAAAATTCATACACCCTGAGGCGCATAAACATAATGTTACAGAGAAATTGGTATACAATTATAATACAATAATTCAACAACGGTGTAAAATTCTGTACACCCCTGATTAGTGGGTCTCATTGGGGTCTAAGCGTGACCCGGGATTGCCGATTTTTTGTAAGCGTGACACGTGAAAGTCAAATTATTGTGCCGTGAAAACGGGAAATGAAGTCTAGCGGGACACGGGAAATTACAAAAAAATGAGAATTGCTTACGTACATAGTGTAAGCGGGATACGGGAATCTGACAAAACAGTAAGCGGGATCCGGGATGAGACTCCCTGATTACACCAAGATAACTTATATTATTCCACTGTTTAAACATATTGATAGGTGTATGAATTTTCAACAACGGTGTAAAATTCCGTACACCCCTGATTTCACCAAGATAACGAATTTATTTCTTAATAATTTAATTTTGGATGTAACGTGTCTTCTGATTGGCTGACGTTGTTTTGTTTATCAGCTCATAGACATAATTTTGTCATGTGACCGTGACGTCATCAACGTTTTTTCATGGTTTACTCAGGTTTAAAATGGAATTTAGAATTAAATTATAAGAAATGACTGTAATATTTTTTCTGTCTATTCGAAATAACATAAAAAATGTGGTGCACACTTTAAAATAACCCGCTACGCGGGTTATTCAGTGTGCACCACTTTTGATGTTATTTCTTCATAGACAGAAAAAATATTACAGTCATTCCTTAATGAACAATTACTTTACTCATTTTGAAACCGGGATGTAAAATTGAAAAATGCTAATGAAAAATTTCCAGTGTAACATTTTTTCAACGTTGATGTTGATGCGTATTGTCAAATACTTTTTTTCTTTATTTTTGGGAAATTCAGAAAAAAAAATTGTTCTTTTGAATTTTCGGGAAAACAAAATTTTTAAAATTTTTTGTCCTCAAATTTATTTATTTTTTATTTCTTATATTTTTTTTTTTTTTGACATTTTATTTTTTTTCTTTATTTTGTAAAATTTTTCATTTTTTTATTTTTTGGCAAATTTTTTTTATTCCGAGGTGAACAAGGGTGGGGTGTTATTTACACCGGGGTAATTAACCAATCAGATTGCAGTATTTTTGCTGCATAAGAAATAAAGGATATTTTTATTATAAGCCTTATAAAAATAGGCAGAAAGGATTCCACCTTGTTTGACTCCCTGCTCATTTACGAACGTTTCCGAGATGTATCCTTGAGATTTAACTTGAGTAGTTGTTTTGTTATATAATTCCTTAATCAGTAACCATGTTGATCCATTAATTCCTTGGTGATATAATTTCCAAAATAGATGTATATGGTCAACCACGTCAAATGCTTTTTCTGCATCCAGAGTTATTAGAATGAGACACTCGTTTTTATCCTTGGCTTCATTAATTGCTTCAGAGATGAGCTACTTACATGTCAAATATGTTTACACATAAGCGCCTGTGATATGCACATAATAACAATTAAATTAAGATTTCCAATCGTAGTACTTTTTTATCATAGGACATGAAAAAAATCCGTCCATACGGGCCCAGTCAATCGGCAATCCTCGGGTGAATCCGCTACGGAATCGGCCGAGTTGTGACGAATGGGGCCCAGTATCACAAGCTTCTAATGCTCATATAAATAAGAATTGCCTAATCCACTGCAAATTTCATTAAACATGTACTTTATACAACTGTATATATGTAACCATGTCATTCCATTCATCTCTATGTTATTGTTGTTATTACTGTTTATATTCACATACCCCATGGTGGGGTCTTGAGACTGATAAAAGTTTCAAGTTTCATGCAATTATTTCAAATAACACAGCTAAACAGATAATATTTTTCAATATTTACGATTGTGGTTTCGAAATAACTTTTCCTCAACAGTTTAGTTACTATTGTTATCTGTATTAGTTCACACGCATGCAGTCACTACACTTATTTTTCTTTAGCAAAACGCGTTTCGTGCAACATATGGCCGGTATACTTGCTTTCATTTCGTATAAATCATTCACTAATATGTATGGTGGCGGGTTAAGGCCATTTCGCGTTTACGCGATTTCGCCTTTTCCCCTTTCATATTCTATAGGGCGAAAACGCGAAATGGTTTCACTTCTCGATTTCGCGTTTTCGACTTAGTGTTTTCGCGTTTTCGTGATTTCGTGTTTTCGTGTTTGTCAATTACTGCCCACTTCAATCATTTCGTATCTTTTATCTGATTGGATAATGATTAATAATTTGAAGATAACTTGACTTGATTATATTATTTTCAAGTACTATTAATTTTTACGAGTACTTAAGTATTTAATAATAATAATATTAATAATGATATCTTTATTTAAAGAGAGTTTAAAATAATAAGCCAATATTCAGTAATGCTCTCTACATACAATATTAGTTAGGGGTCATCCATAATTGTCAACAATTTTCCAAAGTGTACAAAACATACACTTTTTCAGACCCCCCCCCCCCCCCCCCCCCTTCCCTCCCTCAAAAAGTGTACATCAATCATTTTCAGATTTCAAGACAAGAATTAATCAATCTTAATAAAAAGAAGATCCTGTCTAATATAGTTTAGTTTACTATAGAAATTTGCATTGAAAATAAAATTGAAACATATCTGACTGTTTTATTTGATGACATCTATATAGATATGTGATGCTTGTGTTTTATCAGAATAAATTAAGAGTATAAAGATACCATTTTGTTGTTTTGTTGGTTTTAATGAATGGGATAGATGCATTTACACGCAGATTATATACCAAGAAAATTACACTGAAAGCAAGCAATCAAGCATTCCGGAAATAAAAAAAAAAAGCGTACGGTAAAAATGTTGATTTTTTAACCCCCTCCCCCCAAGTGTACGCTTTGTACACTTTGGAAAATGGTTGACAATTATGGATAACCCCTTACATGTATAAAACATAATTATTCTATCAATATGCAAAGATAAACAATATGACTGTATTCATATATAAGAAACATAAATCAACTATGGTATACATTGTTGTTTAACTCACAATTCAACAATTTGTTAAAAATAAATGACTTGTAAGAGTATTTAAATGCAGATACAGTTTTTCATTTTTTAATTTTACTGGATAGTAAAATTTCACACTTTTTTTTCTTAGTAACGGGAATAATTTCAGATTCCCGTGTTAAAAAGTTCAATAGATCACGGAAGTATTATGTTGAATATAATTCTTCCATGAATAAATGAAAAAAAACCGTGCATTATGATTCAAATTTTATTTTACAATTCTTATATTCTTTCACATTTGGATTACTGTTGTTCAGTATGGAAAAACTGTAACAAGTTTTTAATTGACAGTTTACTAAAATTTGAGCTGTCCTAAAATATTGAAAATAATGCCTCTATTTTTCCTGAGATGCCCTTACCATTGTTGATGATGGTTCAGTCTAATGTTGAAATCATAACCCATTATGTGTAAAATTAAATCTTTTCAACACATGACTGCTAAAGCACTCAATCCGTATCTTGAGTTTTCCTTTTCCATCTAAAGTAACAAAAGTACTATGATTTAATTAAATGTACTATTCATAAAATACACCAATATTTAGTCAATTTGAAATATTTGCACAAGTCACTTGAAAAGATAGATTAAGTTAATCCCCGTACATACGTATGTTTATATTAAATACTAATAAACAATAAGAAGGAAGAACTTAAGAAGATTTTTACTTCAATATCTATCATTTGTTATTGTCATGTTATAAACGACATCATTTTAACGACTTTTAAAAAATAATTGATCCTTTGTCATTTGAGCTATAGAATATAATGTACTTGTAATTTAAACTCATTAGCTAACTTTTCAAAACAACATAGACAATTTTCATGATAATATCATGTATGACGTGTCGTCAATTTAGATTTTAGATTTTATATCTATTTTCCCTTAGTATTTACCGTGACATTTATTAAATTGATATTATTACATAGACAGTCGACGAAGAGCGATGCTACAACGGCAACATATGTTCCTTTCACAAACTCTGGATTTATAATTCATCATTTTCTTAAGGAACAAAAAAGAATCAATTATCTTCATTCTATATTGATTTTTTTTCAATTTATAAAAGGCACGATGAAAATGGAATAATATGGAAAATAAAAGTGATGAAGTTAAATTTGTAGATCAGGGAAATGACATTGGTAATTATGGAATAGTAGATGAAGATGAGATCGAAAATGTAGATGGAATCAAGATGAAAAAAGAAAAAGATGATAGTGTAGAGGATACGAATTCTAGCTGTTTGATGTGCAAAGGATGCTACGTTCCAAAACGATTTGTTGTGACAGCCATGACTTCATTGGGAATGCTCTTAACCTATGCCATGAGATCAAATTTCGGAGTAACAGTGATAACCATGTTAGATAATAGTGCTCATATGAAAGTACACGAAGCAGCAATGTTTAACGTAAGATTTTGTATTATATAAGTTAGATGAATTATTCTATCACATTCAAAAATTAATTAATAAGAGAAAAAATCCAGAATGTATTTTAAAAGATAATGCTTAGCATTAAAATAATCAAACCGCTGAATACAAAATACAACAAAAAACAACAAAACCAGAACAATTTCATGGGGCTCATAGGTTTACTACTGCATACCGATTACTGATGTTCTTGATTACCCTTGGATTTTCCACTGCATACCAAATTCTGTTGTTATTAGGGCTCATAGATTTACCACTGCATACTAAATACTGGGTTCCATGATGACCCATGGATTTTCCACTTCATACCAAATTCTGCTGTTGTTGGTAGCCCATAATTTTACCACTGCATATATTGAAGGCCAATCTAATTAAAATATAGACCTCTGATTTCGTTATCTCATATAAATAATACGAGCAAGCGACTTAATATGGATCAGAATTTTAATCAGATTAATTGAATGATGATGATGATCGATGACAGCTTAACCTCCAGCGGCAAATTAATATGCATATTCAGGACGAGAACATGTTAATGTAATATGAATATAAACCCTGCTTTATACTAGACCGACACACAGAGCCGGATTTTTAACGTGCTAGTTCACAAGGTAAAAGTCCGCTGGAAAACATGTCCCCTTACCCGGACACATTATTCTGACTCTGAGCCGACCAGTCTTTGCTCTTACTCCTTAATGCCGCGTGCTTAGTGGAGAAGCAGCAAATACCAATTTTAAAGTCTTTTGTGTGGCCCGGCCGGGTTTCGAACCCACGACCTCCCGCACTCGAGGCGAACACGCTACCACGAGACCACAGAGGCGGTTCAGATTGATTGAAGGCCTCACTGTGATTTTGAGATAAAGAACAGCAATAAAAAAGCTGTTCCTTTGTTTTTTTTGTTTTATACTGTGCACATACTGATTTTGTGTCCTGAATGTATACCCCATATCCTTTCTTTTCTATCAAATACTGGGGTTCTTCGTGACTTATCATTTTTTTCACTGCATTCCAAATTCTGTTGTTGGTGGCCAATATATTTACCACTGCATACCAATTTCCATTGTTGGTGGTCTATAGATTTACCACTGCATACAGAATTCTCAGACTCTTGTTCTTGGTGGCCCATAGACTTACCACTGCATACTTCATACTGGTTTTCTTGATTACCAATGGATTTTCCACTGCATACCAAATTCTGTTGTTTTTTATTAGCCGATTGATTTACCACTGCATACCAAATTCTGTTGTTTTTGTCGAGCCTTCGACTTTTGTCGAAAAAGCGAGACATAGCGATCCTACATTCCGTCGGCGTCGTCGTCGTCGTCGTCGGCGTCGTCGTCGTCGTCGGCGTCCACAAATATTCACTCTGTGGTTAAAGTTTTTGAAATTTTAATAACTTTCTTAAACTATCCTGGATTTCTACCAAACTTGGACAGAAGCTTGTTTATGATCATAAGATTATATTCAAAAGTAAATTTTGTAAAAAAAAAATTCCATTTTTTCCGTATTTTACTTATAAGTGGACTTAGTTTTTCTGCCAGTTAACATTACATTCACTCTGTGGTTAAAGTTTTTAAAATTTTAACAACTTTCTTAAACTATCCTAGATTTCTACCAAATTTGGAAAGAAGCTTGTTTATGATCATAAGATAGTATCCAGAAGTAAATTTTGTAAAAAAAAAATTCCATTTTTCCGTATTTTACTTATAAATGGACTTAAGTTTTTCTGCCAGGAAACATTACATTCACTCTGTGGTTAAAGTTTTTGAAATTTTAATAACTTTCTTAAACTATCCTGGATTTATACCAAACTTGGAAAGAAGCTTGTTTATGATCATAAGATAGTATCCAGAAGTAAATTTTGTAAAAAAAAAATTCCATTTTTCCGTATTTTACTTATAAATGGACTTAGTTTTTCTGCCAGTTAACATTACATTCACTCTGTGGTTAAAGTTTTTAAAATTTTAACAACTTTCTTAAACTATCCTGGATTTGTACCACACTTGGACAGAAGCTTGTTTATGATCAAAAGCTAGTATCTAGAAGGAAATTTTGATAAAATTTTGTTCCATTTTTTCTGTATTTTACTTATAAATGGACTTAGTTTTTCTTCCAGTCAACATTACATACATTCTGCAGTTTAAGTTTTTAAAACATTTATTAGATTCATAAATTATCCTGGATTTTTACCAAACTTGGACAGAAGCTACTTACAATCAAAACATAGTATAGAGGGGAATATTTTTATTAATTTTTTTCCTCATTTTTGTTGAGCCTGCGATTAACACCAAAAGTAGGCGAGACACTGGGTTCCGCGGAACCCTTACGAATTTTTTATTAGCCGATTGATTTACCACTGCATACCTTAAACTGGTGTTCTTGATTACCATTGGATTTTTCACTGTCGCTGAAATCAAATTCTGTTGTTGGTGGTCCATAGATTTACCACTGCATACATAATACTGGTGTTCTCATTACCCATGGATTTTCCACTGCATATGTAAAGCAAAATATTGCCCTATAAGACAATTTTTCATAACTTTGTATCATGAAATTTTGTCACTATCTATGAAACAATGTCCAGAAAAGGACAAATTTCCATATGAAAATTTGTCCATATACAGACTGTTACAAATTACATAGATAAATGGAATGACATTTTGTCTTGTTAAAGGGAGGTTATATATTGTGTACATTTAGACACTATTTCGGTTTATTCCCGATTGTCCCACTTTTTAAAATTTTAGAGTTCTGATTGTCCCACATGAAAAGTTCTGATTGTCCCACATTATTTTATGATGTAAATGTTCTTAAATAAACAAGGTAGTAGTTGTTTGTTTTGCTAAATAAACAAGAATTGATTATTGCATGTTCAAACTATAATTTGATATAAATTCTGTAAATAAAATATGATTTATTTTTTTTAAATCATAAGATTAATGCACTTTTGATTAAAAAAAATGTATAACATTTCTGGGTTATAAAACAAATCTATAATGTTATTAAATCATCAGATTGATGCACTTTGATATTAGAACTCGTCACCAACTATAAAGGAGAACCAGACATTCATCAACTTATATGCAGGGCAGCAGTTCTTCTTCTGGTCCTACATACAGAAATAGAAGACATCATTGGCTTTGAACTAGCTGTCAGTAACTGCGAGTACTCTCAGATCTGTACTTAGTGTCTTTTTGTTGTGGGGATATATAAGTACCCTGCCACGTCCACTCTGTGTTTTTGTTAGATGTATTTCTGCTTTGTATCGATCTGAAAGCCCTTTTCAACTGATTTTTATATATGAAAATTAATAAGATGTGGTATGATTGCCAATGAGACAACTCTCCACAAGAGACCAAATGACACAGAAATTAACAACTAGAGGTCACCGTACGGCCTTCAACAATGAGCAAAGCCCATACCGCATAGTCAGCTTTAAAAGGCCCCGAAATGAATATAGTTTGTTCTTATGTTGTACTGTTACACCACTGTCCCAGGTTAGGGGGAGGGTTGGCGCGCCTTCAAACTAGTTTAACCCCGCCACATTCTGTATGTGCCTGTCCCAAGTCAGGAGCCTGTAATTCAGTGGTTGTCCTTTGTTGCTGTATATCATATTGTTTTTCGTTCATTATTTTGTACATGAATCAGGCCGTTAGTTTCCTCGTTTGAAATGTTTTACATTCGTCATTTCGAGGCCTTTTGTAGCTGACTATGCGGTATGGGTTTTACTCATTGTTGAAGGCCGTACGGTGAGCTATAGTTGTTTATTTCTGTGTCTCATTAGCAATCATACCACATCCTCTTATTTTTATATCTGGTTCAATGCTCTGGAAGACTTGGAAAATTCGGACTCAACAGCAAGTACCACTCCATTTACTGAATACGTCACAACATACTTGGTTGAAAACAATATGCAGCTATGGAACCAATACCTATACAAAGGACGATTAACCTCCTCGCAGGATGGCACAGCAGCCTGAAGAAGATGATCCAAGTACCACACCCAAAAATATAAACTCTACTCAACTATATTAAGGAAGAGCAGCCTACAGGAACCGAAAGAACGTCTTCAGAATGGTGAAGTTAGTGTGTTTCAGTATGCTAGCATTCCCTCTTATCTGTTACACTTGGACTGATGTGATGTGTTGTGATGTTTATTTTATGTTTTATGTGTGCTTTAATGTTGGTTGTGCTAATGTATTATTATTGTTGTACCTTCTGTGTGCTTAATAGTAACTTTTTATAATTCATGTCATATGTGTGCTTTATTGTATTAAGCTGTCTATTATGAGTGCTTTATTGTATGAGGGTCTGGATGGGAGGGGAAAAAAAGGGGGGGGGGGGGGGTGATAAGCCTTTATTTCTCTATTCTTTAAGTTTTAGCCATTGTATTTCAGCACCACATGATTATTCTCTATTATTTAATCTCTTTTTTTTGCCTATTTTTCTCTATTCTTAATTTGTTTACCCATATTCCTGTAGTATTAGCTTATTATTCTCTATTCTGTCAACCCCATCCAGAAACCTCTTGTATTAAGCTGTTTATTATATGTGCTTTGTTGTAACTCTTTATTATACATTTATGCTTGCTATGTGCTATTTTATAACTTGATATTATATTCTATGTTTGATGATACGTCAATTACACATTTTATGTGCAAAATAAAATATGTCAATATTATTATTTGTTTATGTTTATTTTATATTCTATAAGTTACATTGATCAGATAAATACCTGAATTAACTGTTGTACTATTTCATAACAATTGATCTCTGTCAAAACAATTCCCAATTTTTGCATGTGAAATATTGTCATGGACAGTATTTCATAGTGAAATATTGTCCAGAAGGAGGAGACAAAATTTCATGGAGAATGAGAGCTATGCATGATCGACAAATAAATTGATTGTCTCTGCATATCAAATTCTGTTGTTGTTGGTGACCAATAGGTTAACCACTGCATACCAAATACTGGTGTT